AAAAAACTTTAAATTATGAATGATATCAGGGACACAAAACAGTGTATAATACACATAAGAATATTTTTGAAGATTAAATAACGGAAAAAATTTAATGATCATTCATGTACCCACTTCTCAAACTTAAGAAATGGACATTACTAACGCCTGTGACACCCCAGGATGACCTTGCTTAATTATATTTCCTACACTGCCCAGAAGACGTAACCACTTATTTAAGTGCTGCATCATTCCCATGCTTTAAAAATTTTTTTTACTTTAAAGATTATATTGTTAAGTTTTGCTTGCATTTGAATTCCACTAAGTGGAATCACATTGTATTTATTATTTTGCTACTTGCTTTTTTTCAACGTTCATCAATATTGATGAATTTCTACATTCATCCATCTTGATATATGTACTTAGAGTTCATTCGTTTTTATTGTTGCATAGTATTCTGTGTGTGATCTACCAGAATTTATTTAGCCATTTTTTTTTTTTTTGGTGATATTAGGTTGTTTCTAGTTTTTGTTATTATCTATAGTGATGTTAAGGATATTCTCATACATGCTTCCCAGGAAATCTGTGCAAGCATGTTTCTAGGGTATGGAATTTCTAGGTCAAGGATACAGGCTATGCATCACTGCTAAGTGTTGCCAAATGTTATACCGATTGACACCCCTGAGAACATCATATAAGATTTCCAATTGCCAGAATTGAGGGTTGTACTTTTTAATTATTTGCCAATGTATTGGTATGAAAATGATATCTCAGTGTGGATTTTGTTTTCATTTCCCTGACTACTCATGAAACGTAACACCTTTTCTATTGTTTGTTGGTCATATCATGCATGTTTCCTCTTCTGAGAAATGTCCATTTTTAATTTAGGCTGTTTTTCTTATTGATTTGTAGTAGTTTTTTATATATGTGGATAAAAGCAGAGTTTCTTAAATATAAATACGTCATTAGAAGACACACAATCCTTGAACATTGCTATCCCAAAACTATTCTTTTGCTTATTCAGATTAATCAACATACTCTTTGTTTTTCTTTCAAGCAAAAAGAAGTTGAGAGTGATATTTCCTGGTCTTTGAGGCTTATGACAGGGCAATTAGCTAGCCACCAAACCCATACCCTTCAGCAGAGGTTGAGTGCTCGATGTTAGAACATACAGATGACTTAAAATTTAGCGAGTGTGTATTAGAATCCCACAGGAAACCAAATTTATCTCAGGTCATTTAGATGAAGAAACTTGAATGAAGGCATAACTTGTAGGTCTGAGTTAAGGGAACATATGAGGGATGTTGCTGCATCCGCAGACTAGCACCAGCAGGCAGCCATTACTTCCTTCAGAGCTGAGAGGCCAAGTGAGGAAATGTTGTCTTGGCGCCCACTGAAGCCTGGAAATGTGGAGCAGAGGCTGTCCAGCAGGAGAGGACTCACAGCTATTGACAGATAAGCATCACCAAAGCTGGAAAGGAGTAGGGGAGAAAAAAAAAGAAACCATACAAGTACTGTCTCCTCCTACCCTCTGAGTTCCAGCCAGTCTCCCACTGGCCACATCCAAGTGGAAGCCAGTCAGGAAGAGGTCCTGGGCAATACAGTCCACAGCGTTAGCCTTCAGGCACAGAGGAGGGCGACAAAGAATGGAAAATGGAACTGGGGTAGTAAGATCGGCCAGCAGCAGCCACCAAGACAGAGGGATACAAACCACCTGAGGCTTTGTCACAGGAGAAATGACAAAAGGAGGCTCACACAGAAAGGCTGCCGAGCCCTAATTATTGGTGTGTCCTGACAGTGCGTAACAGGGATCATTCTCCCTGTCTTAGCTAAATTAACAAGTGTAATGAACATTAAGTACAGTTCATCATAAAATTTTTAGCTGCTTGAGTTTAACACACCAAAATTACATGGTAAAACTGAGACATTTTTAAAAGTAACTGTACAAGGGAAATGTCTCCATATATCTGTCTGAGCCTCAGGTACATGTCAACAGAAATAGAATAATAATACCTACCTTATGAACGTTGTATGAGGATTAAATGAGATGAAGCATGTAAAGTGCCTGGCTCTGGGCCTGGAACCAGTAAGCATTCAAATGTAGTTGCTATTATTATCATGTGTCATTTACTCATCTTGCTCTAGTTAACATTGCTACAAGTGGCTCCTAATTCTGCATAGCTTTCCCATTACGTGACCCACTATTGACAAGTTCTAGAATGTTCTAATCTGATCTAGAATATTCAGCCTATGTATCTGTGTAGGAATCCACCAAAAACTTAATGACACCACCATGTGAGTAAGAGTTTACAACATAAAGCACTTCCAGCATCATTATTGTGCTAATTCTTAAAGTAACCCAGGAATAACTATCTTTTTTAAGACAGGGAAACCAAGACTGAAAGACACATGATGCAGACTTTCTGCCTCCAAAATAAGTCTGGCTTCTTACTCCCTCCTAATGGCTCTTTATCTACCATTAAGTATTAAGTTCCATGTTAGGATATATTTTAGAATCAACCAAAAAAGTTAATGTGGACTTTAGGCTGAATCAAGTACTTTTAAGGAACTTATATCACAAGTAAATTCTAGGGTTCATTTGATCTTTTGTAGTGAAAAGCTACTCGAGATCTTCATTACGTTTTACTGTAGCAGCAGGAGAGATACAGCCTGAGCAACAATAAGGCCCTACCCTCGAGTTGTCTGATGTGACTCAGCCAATAGGGTTGTCTTCTTGGAAGTGGGGATGAATGCTCGCAGACGCCCTGTCCCCTCTGTCTTGTTATAACCCCACAGATCTCAAGCTGGGTAGATGCCTTTCCTTGGTTCCAAATCCTTAAAAGGAAAGAACCAGGCTCTCCAAATTAACAATGAAATTACACTCAGAAGCCAAGAATTGGAGCAGGGACTTTTTGCAAATGATGGTGCTCTGTGACTTTGGAGGATCTTGTTCTCATTACCAGAAAGAAAAATTAAAAGGGAGGGCTAAGATCAGATTGGAATATTTTATTAAAAAGAACTTTGAAAATATAAGCCACTTGACTGGTGGGGGTGGGGTCTACAAGGCTGCATGAGATCGGATGTGGCAAAACCATACATACAATTGGGCTGCTCTGAGAGGAAGTGGGGCACAGTGGTTTTGAGCAGAGCTTTGGAGTCATACAGACCTGCTCAAGACTCCTGGTGCTGGCACTCACCTGCTGTCTGGCCTTAGATGTGTCACATCAGCCTGCTGAGCCTGTTTCCTCGTGCAAGATAGTACTTACTAGTGTCGACACCTACATGCACCTTGTGGTAAGATAATGCACACTCGAGTACTCAGCACAGTGCCTGGACAGCTGGGCACTCGGTGAACTTTAACCATGAGGAGGCTTTGGACTTTCTCATTGCTCAGCCTAAGTTCATACTAGATTCTGCTGCCCCATTCAGATAGTCAGTATTAAGTAAAACCGAATGGGATGAATTAGTCAAGCACTCAAACCAATTCTTTAACATAAACAAGAGCAGACTTGACATTACTAACTTAGAATAGCTATGGATCAACATACAACAGTCTATAAAATGGTACAATGAATTTTGAAGTGCAAGAAACATATGCCTGAATCTAGGCAGGCAAAACAAATACATACACACATAGAACGTACACTGCATGGACTCCAACAAAATGACCTATTTTCACTTCTTACCCCCGGGCTAGCAAGGGTCTGCTTCCTTCTCACAACCTTTCACCATAGAAACCCAATTCCTGTTTCTCTTTCTAAGTCAGCTCAACACAACTTTGTTTAGCGATGGTTCCTTCCCTATGCTGGACCCTGGGGACACTAAGATGGAGAGGAGTTCCCTCTGCCTTCGAGAACTCACAGTCTGACAGGAGAGACAGACACTAATTGGCCTCAAGTTGTGCCAGGTCCCCGGGGAGGGCCTAGACATGGATTCTTGTTCCCAGGTGTGAGCATACCCAGAGCGAGACTTTGAGCTTGGTTCCTGCCAACAGGCAGAGGGCTTATCTGTGCATATGCCCAGGTGAAGGCAAAGCCATTTGATTCTGCCCTCTCTGGTTTTTCCTTCTTCTTCCCCTTCCACCATGGAATCATCTCCTTTTCCCTCACTTAGCATCAGGTACCTGGACCCTCCCATTTTCAGACAACCCTCCTTCCCACCTCCCTTCAACAAGAAAAAAATGAAAAGCCTGGGGACAGCCAATCTTAGGGGGTAGAAATTCATTCCTGCTAACATGTTAAATATCCCTCCACCCTAAAGACTGGCTTTGAAAGAAAACCTGCATAAGTGATTTAAAATTGTTTGTATGTTGGGGGTGCCTGGGTGGTTCAGTTGGTTAAGCATCTCCATCTGACTCTTGATTTTAGCTCAGGTCATGCTCAGCTCAGGTCAGGATCAGGTTGTGAGACCGAGCCAGCCTCAGGCTCTGCACTGAGCGTGCAGCCTGCTTGGGATTCTCTCTCTCTCTCTCTCTCTCTCTCTCTCTCTCTCCTTCTCTCTCTCAAAAAATAAATAAAATATACTGTTTGTATGTTGGAGGAGAGGATCTGAATCAACAGGGAAATCAGAGATGACCTGTGCCCGCCTTCCCTGCCTGGTCAGCTTTCAAGGGCTCCAGCCCTCCAGACACGCAGTGCAGAGAGCTGCACATAGGTGCTCTCAAGCCAGGCCCATGGGAGACACAGAGGTGAGGACAAGCCACAGGACTAGAGGGCTGGGGATGTCTGGGTGAAGGCAGATACATCAGTCCCAGGGAACTAAGAGAACCCCGGACCCCCAGAGACTAAGTTCCAGGTCTTGGGCCTTTCCTGGATGTGAATGAGAGAAGGAGGAAGGAATCTGGGGATGAGCACAAACCTGATTGTGTACCAAGCACAGCTGCAGAGGACTGAGCACATAAGGAAACTAAAAAGTCAGGCTGGTGATGCCAATATAAGTTAATCACAATCATTTATGCCAACTCTCTTACCATTTGCGTGCAGTGGCCATGTTGTACTAATGCAATAATGTACTTCAACAAATGTGGTTCAGAGCAGTTCTAAGTTTTATTAGGTTAGATAAGCAAATGATACACCTGGGTGCCTGCAGTCACAAGTTCTCTCTCAAGTTACATCGTCCTCTATTCCCAACTTTAACAGCTGAACGAGATCATTGCTTTATGACTATTAGATAGAACAGGGAATGGGGGTGGGGTGGGGATGTATCCTCCTATATTCAGTATTTCCCCCAATAACTTTTTATTATCCTAGCTATTGCGGTGCAGTTTGCTTGTTCCCTATGTTTGGATTCTGCATTTTTTTTTCACCCGAGTGCTTCACATTCATGAAATAGTAAAAATTATAAGTTCCACCATTTCCCCCCTTACACACATATACATATAGGTCAACACCTTCCCAATTACTTGGATTGGATCCTAAAATTAACACATGATGTTGCCACACCAGCTCAGGTGAGCACTCAAATAGCAAATTTGCTAAGTTACCTTCACACAAAAATTTGGGCTCACTCTTCTTCTCAAGACCTACACCCAAATAGGAACCATGGTGTGAGAAGAAGCAGACACCAGTTTCTGAAACGAAAGTGAGATTTCCTCACTTCTGCTCCACATGAGCAGTCTGGTTTCCTACCTGGAAGCTTTTCCTTCCATCTATTTTGGCAAATGAGGGAGGAATGCTTGATCTATAACTGGAGTTCTTTGGGCAAAAGGTAGTATCATAAATAAATGCTTTTTTATATAATCACAGAGAAATTGAGTGACAGCTATTTAAAATGTTAATTTTTAATTAAGCAGCATTGAGGAATATTATGTTATTGAACTGTATTTTATGTACAACGCTGAATGACAGGTGGGTGAGAAATTAATTGCAAGGATCAGGTTGTGGTCATTTTAAAATTTGATTACCTGGTAATATCCAGCAGGCAAGTGGTGTCAAGAAAATTACTACTTCAGAGGAAAACACTACAGACCTTTGGAGAGCCCCAATAGGGTTACACTGTGTGTATGGGAGCACGTAGGGAAAGACTTTCCAAATGCAAAAACTAATTATATACAAGAGCTATACATTTCCCTATTATTTAAATAAAATGTGTCTTTAAATATGGAATTCTTTGAAAAACTCACTTCATTGTCCAAAAGTATGGAGACCATTTTGGTTTTTTAATCGAAGATGGAGTCTTCATTATAGGACCTTGTATTTGGACTAGGCAAGAGGTTCATTTCTAGAGTGTATTTCATAAAAACAGCCAGCGGCCAAGTCTCATCAACAACTGTATCCGAAAGGAAGTGCTGCACAGGATATATCTAGAAAGAGCATCAGTCCTTGCCGGCCTGTCTGCTCTCCCTGTCCCTTTAGTCTTTGGGAGTGAGTAAGTGAGTGTGGGCCAGGTCTCCGGGAAGCTAGAAAATCTTGCACTCGTTAATGGAGAAGAACCTCCTTCTGTTGCGTCTCCGGGCTTGGTTGACGGCAGTTCGGACGGCACACTCAAATACCTGCTGAACCCCTCGGTTGCTAAGGGCTGAACACTCCAGATAGCCCTTTGCTCTCACTTCCTGGGCCAGTTTCTTTCCTTCTATGGCATTGACGCAGGAAGCCCTGTGGGGGCCCATCTCCCGTTGGTCAGTCTGAGTAGCCACCACCAGCACAGGTGTGCAGGGCAGGTTGCTCCTGATTTCACCAATCCATTTGTTCTTCAGGTTGAGGAATGAGTTATGGTTGGCTACAGAATAGCACATCAGCACCACATCTGCCTGCTGGTATGACAGGGGGCGGATGCTTCTGAAGGCGTCGTTGCCCGCTGTGTCCCAGAGGCCCAGGCTGATCTGGACGCCATCCATGAAGACGTCCACACCTGTGTTCTCATACACCGTGGGTTTGTAGGCCTCCGGGAAGGTCTCTGAAGTGAAGCGCACCAGCAGAGAGGTTTTCCCCACAGCAGAATCTCCCACCAACACACACTTGATGGAACTCAGCATCTTTCCAGCCTGAATTCCGGGTTACAAGTTCAGAATCCCAAGTAAAAGGGCCCTCAGTGGGCTGCTGAAGTAAATGCCATTCAACACAGGGAATGAAAACCGGATAGGGTTTCTCAAGACCCCAGACAGCAATTCTCCCCGTCCATCGGAGGGAGACTCACAATCGACATTGAAAACCTCCAACTGCTAGTCTTCAACTGCAACAGAAAAAAAAAAAAAAGAAGGCGGCGTGAGGGATATTGAGTCTTTCTTTTTCCTTTTTAAATGACGGGGAGCCTCCTCATTGGCAAACTGATTAAACACGCCCACCTCTGTGTGGCCGTCCAACCCACTGTCCACTCGCTCTTCCCTTTGAAAAGGAAAGCTTTTCAAAGACACTCACAACAGCAGACACTCACAACCCCACCCAGTAAGAAGCAGAAGCTGATTTTATCTCTAAATCAGGCTAATGATAAAAACACCAGCAACTGCTCTGATATCAACATGGAAAAGACCTCAGTAGCAACCTGATATGTGAATGCGGAGAGTGCCTTCAAACAGCTTTCTCTTGGCTTCTGCTCCAAGAAGCGAGGAAGGCAGTGGACAGCAGCTTCAGTTTCTAATGGACCCCAGCCACTTCAGGAACTGCAAGGAAGAGAAATGTAATGAGTGACAATATAAGAGCTTCCCTTCATTTATTGATTAACCAGCCAGCCCTTGGTTTACATGGGAATTCATGCTGAGATCAAAGAAAAGAAATCCACCAGAGCCCTAAAAATTTGCTGTGGTTTTTCTTTTCAGGTTTTGCCAAAAACTGGCTACAGATGTAATAGAGAGGGCACTGTCCTTGGCGTTTTATGCATCTGAAATCAAGCTCCATAACCAATACGACAACATAGCTTTGAGCAAGTGACTTCATCTCCAAGCCTCGGTGTACACATCTGCATGCATGCGATAAACTGAGGAACCACTTCTCAGAGATGTTGTGAGGATTAAATTAGTTTTTTTCTTTCCAATGTTTCAAAACAGCTACGTATGTGCCAGGAACACTGTTGGGCCCTGATCATACGAAATAACTTTCTTGAAAACAAACCTATTTAGTGCCTGTCTTTTAAACAGGACTGTACAAATATGACAGCATCTGAATTTCGTGAAAGGGTCAAATGAATTCTCATTCACTGCAGGTGTAAGAGCTCCAGACGATGAGATCAGCTTTGGAGATGGTGTTGTCTGCCCAGGGACATTATCACAGGACAGTCCAGCTTCAGATAAAGGAAAGTTCTTTCCGTAACAAAATTCAGAGTAAAGATTATTAATACAATCTGGGCTTTTAAGGTCCCCCACTGGCTATCTTTCTGACTTGTCACATGTAAAGCAATGTCAAACAGGGCTATCGGTCTGCTGCAAAATGTAATTAAAAAAAAAAAAAATCACTCCTCTAAATTCTGACATTCCTTTCCAAGAAATTTTTGTTCTTATCAACCCATAGTTTCTGTTTGTTTAATTAGACATAACAGCATTTGCAAATGAGTTACTCAAATACATAACTCACATGATTTTCACGTATTCATTTTTTTAACGACATGTGAGCTGAGTGACCTTGGCCAAATTACCTAACCTCTCAGAGCCCTGGTTTCTTCATAAAAATGAAGATAAGAAAAGTACCTCTTCGTGCAATTATTGTGAGTATGCAGCACATGGAGAGGCTGTCTTAGCACAGAACGTGGCACATGGGACCCACAGGGAACCATCATGTTACTTATTTCCACTACAATTAATTTAAAATGCCAAATATTGAGTGTCCGTGGCAGTGGGGCTAGGATGTCAAATGTTCAGCTAGACTCTGTCTGAAGACTCACACTGGTTCACTTATGCACTATGGTCCCGGACGTCGTTGTCACCAGACCTTTGGGCATGGTCTCCCATGCAAGGCTCTGTTAGGTCTCAGACCTTAGCTCTTTAGAACTACAGATGACCTAAATATACACATTTGTGACCTTCTCATTACTTGGTCCAGAGCCAAGAACTTTTAAGACAGTTTTGAGTTTCATTTTGATGCCAGTGAAGCAGAACTGGAACTAGGGAAAATGTGCATGTGTCAGGCTTTTGGTTATTAAATAAAATCTTTCTAATAGATTGATTGAGTAAAAGCCAAATTTCCTACGTAAATATCTGCAAAAAGAAGTCAATGAGGCCAGCTTGTTAAGAACACTACTTTATAGTTGGGAGGATCTGGAATTGAATCCAACTCACAACCGATCACCTGGGCAACAGCCTTAGCAGAGTTTCTTAATGTCCTAAAGCCTCCATTTCCTCCTCTGAAAATTGTTGTAATAATATCTGCATCATGGGGCTGCTGAGAGAATTAAGTGTGTTTAGATGTATACAATCCATAGCACAGTGCAGGACTTCTGGGTGGAGGCCGAGCGTCTGACTCTGGATTTTGGCTCCGGCCACGATCTCATAGTTTATGAGATCGAGCCCCACCCTGGGCTTTGTGCTAATTGCAAGGAATCTGCTTGGGCTTCTCTCTTTCCCTCTCTCTCTGCTTCTCCCCAATCAGTGCTTTCTCTCTCTCTCTCTCTCAAAATAAATAAACATTTAAAAGAACCCTTAGCATAATGTGAATATATTACATGTATAGTCAACACATAGCAAACACACAGTAAGTAGTCCTTATCACTAATAGCATTGTTAAATAATAATGACTAAATATAATGCTAAACAATTATTAATTATAAGTGAGGAATTTGAAGTGGCACTATAGAGGTTTCTCTGCCAAAGAGTGCCCTGCGTGTGTTATACCAAGCCATCATGACCAAAAAGACGGATGTTTCTTCTTGGAGCATGAAAACAAAAATATCATGTGAACAAAGAAATTCCTATCTGGACTGTGACACCTAGCAAGTGTCCAAGAGTCAGTGACCTTCATTCTAAGCCAGTTCTAACACTACGAGGCACATCAAATCAGTTCTCAGGGCCTCAGTTTCCCAAGTGGTAAATCAATTTGACAAGGTTAGCTTTCTCTGTGGTTCTATTAAAACTGAGGCCAACAGGGAAAACGTTATTACCTGCCTCAGTGAAACAAAGAACATAAACCTCTGTATTATGTAGATACATAATATTATGTATTATGCCTCTGTAGCAGTAAAGGCAGATGATAAACTTTGATGACACACGTAGCCTTCAGCAGAAGGCTAAATATGGAGCTGGGAGAGGGGAGGGGAGGGGCTCCAGTCCAGGTTAGAGCAATACCCTATATAGGCATGAGAGATCATCTCCAGTCGGCGTGTGACATGTGCCCACAAAAGAGCCGTTATAGGTCCCATAGTCAGTGTGGAAGGCTGATGGACTTGATTTCAGCAGAATCTGTCCCTTTAGGAGAAACTAATGGGCCTGTAGGTGAAAAATAGATGTGGTTCTTCAGTGGTACTGCACAAGTGGCCAACCATGGGGTGCCCCACTTGTGTATCTCTCCACACAGAAGAGTTACCGAGAGTGAATGCAGATGGCAACCTGAGTGATGCCATCAAGTGACCCTTCGAGGATTTAAGTCACACTGGAATCCATGGATCTTTACTATCAGAACCTCTCAGTTCTCAGTAACTTGATTTCTGCCCCCTTTCCCTTTTTTTCACCATTTTCATGAAAGAAAACCTTCCACGGGCGCAGATGGTTCACACACAAAGAGAAAGAGGGGAGCGAGGAGGCTGCACCTCGCAAAGGCAATGGTGGAAGGATCTTCTGTCTACTGCCACAAAAGGACAAAGGCAGACGAGGAGAGCAAAGGGATGAGGTGTCCGAATCTGCTTCATCTTCTGGAAAGCTGAGGGCCATCCAGTAGGAAATTCTGGTTTCAGTTGGGCCTCAATTCCCTTCCCAACTAACAGGTACCTGCTTTTCCCTACTAATCTTTCTTCAGACACACTCCGTGTGTCTCTATTTGCCTGCAAGGCCTGCCCTTCACTCACCCCCCAACTCCCACCTCTTCTTGAAAATGTTCTCTGATGATCTGACCCACTGCTGGATCAGGTGTTCCCCTCTGTCTTGTCATAATCTGTCCCCACGAACGTCTCATGTAACCTTCATCACATCCTGATAAAGTAGGTGGTCCTTTTGTGCTTATCCCTCCTCTATAAAACCAGAATAAGATCTGCCTTACCTTCCCTGCAGGAAGTTGACATGGATGAGGTGGAAATTATAACAACACAGCAACAATTTGTGTGTGTACTTCCTAACAACCGTGCATTTAGAAATACTCTCTCCTTTATTCTGCGTGACATCCCCTTAGAATAACAATATAGTAAGGTGAAATTAGGACCATTATTGACTAAGTCCAAGTTCTAGGTTACCTGGGCTTGGATTGAGGTGGCTTACTTCAAAATGCTGATGGAATCACCCTTTATCTTTTTTGAAAAATACAAACCATGGCTGCCATCAGCCAAGAATAGCCCGTCGATTACAGAGAATACATCTAAATATCATCCTCCTCAGAAGAGCTTTGGGCACAGAACCTGTACTAGAGGCAGCCAATTTATTCATTAAGGAAATTGATTCTACCATGAATCTAACACACTTAGGTGATTAAGAAAGCATCATGTTCTTCAGCAACGCATCCCCTGCCAGGGCCTTCCACCAGCGACCCCTCCACTGCCTAGCAGGGACACCACAGCAAGAACGGGTCTTGCTCTGCATGGGTGAACCCACGGAGAGCAACTCGTCTCACAACGGGGCTTGGTGCTTCATTTCTGTTCTTTTCCTTGGCAGGGGTCGGGGGTGGGGAGTTCAATTCAAAAATCTTAAGCAACTTAATAGAAAAAAAAGTGTAATTATCTCTAAATGTTATCACTCCAAATTCTTGCTCATTGTCTAATAAATGTGCATTCGTATATATGTCTTCTAAACATGTTCTCAGATTTTTTTAAATGTTGACTTTCAATATAGTCTATATACTTGCCAGGTTTTAGCTGAATTGCTTCCCATTGTTTCAATAATTCATGATTGCACTGCCTTTCACCATTGTTAGCAGAGCCTTTGAGTTTGTTCTCCAGTATTTCACCACAACTCACATCTGTGCCCTTTTACATTTAAAAAATATGTATGCATATATACATACATATGTTACTTCTATGTGGGGTGACTTCTTGGGGGCTATATTCACAAATATGGTGTTACCGGGTCATTGGGTTATTTTGTGACTTTTATTTACATTATCGAGCCTCTTTCAGGGACTGTACCAAGTAATTTGTATTATTGATTAGTTGTTTTCTTCATTTAAAAAAAAAATTGTTTAGGGTTTCCTGTGTGGCAGGCACCATAACAGGTCCTGAGAGCATCCTGGTAGACAAGATTAGTGCTGTCTGTATGGAGATTCCTGTTTCACAACTGTAGAGACTTGCCCACAGTCACACAGCAAGCACACGGCGGAGGCAAAGTGTGCCCTAACTAGAGTGTGACTCCAAGCCACCGTGGCTCCACATGTCACCCTTTACCCGTAATTCCTACCAGCCCGAGCCAGAGCATCTCGAGTAAACCTATGCTTCCTACAGAAACCCACGACCTTTTAGCCACCTCTTCCAATTCCTATTCTCCTGCTACAAATAAACCAGTTTGGTATTTTACAAGGAGTGTGCTGTGTTTTGATT